TAGCAACGTGCATGTACATGTGTATGCCCCTTAATGCCGAGCGCCAGACAGGGTAACAACAAGTACCATCTTTTAACGTGTTTTGGTATGACGCGGCCGGGGATCGAACCCACTAGCCCAAATGGTTGCAAATACGTTTGATGCGGAAGGAGATGGGGAGAGGTATATCTCGTGTATTTTGTTAGTACTGATGCTTGCAAATACGTCTGGCAGCTGAAGATGGTCTTTTAGGGGTAGATCTGTTGTGTTTGCTTTGACGGTCGAGTTGGGATGGATGGTTGGAGATACGGTTTGATGTCGAAGAGGGTGTGACCGGATTAGATCTGCTGTTTGCTGCTTGGGGAAAGTTGGAGTTTGTTGAGCTGTGTCCGAACTTGGGGAATGTACGGGATAAGGCCGTGATAAAGCCACAAGAGGGACCTCGTTGTTTGTGAAGCATGATAACAATGTTAATTCAAAACCATACAACAGAATTCATCTGACCGTGTTCCCATCACCACAGCCCGGAAACAAAGAGAAGTGGACCCAGCTTAATCCCGTACTGTTAACTGTTTCCACTGCTGTGTTTGTCAACATGAGACAAATGTTGAACTTGTGTGTACGTTCAGTGCCATGTGTCTTGTCCACTAACTAATATTTTCTTTGAATTAGATTTAAAGAAAATATTTGGTCTTGGAGTAAATAGTATTCTACAAATTTAGGGACACAGTTCTGATTTTCGTTTTAAAATGAAATACAGCAATCCTATGTATCTTGGGGCAGATTATTTTGAACAACTTTAATAATGACAATTACTTTATTAAGCAAACGAAGACGCGGTTTATGAGCGGGTGAGTGAGTGATTTTGGTTTAGCTAAGCCTTGAATAGTGTTTTGTTTAAAAATGTTTCGGGGTCAGCTTGATGTGGGAGAAAATTGATGCAGGTCTTAGGCGTTTACCTCTTTGGTGAAAGCCAGGATGATGACAAATCTAGAAACAAAATCAGGGCGAATCTGGGATTCGAACCTACGGTCACATGTTTCTTGCACGCCTGGGGCACTTTGCCCACCCGTGTCCAGTTTGATATAGGTGGCCTACTAGGTTGGCTATGTGGCCATGTGGCTATTTCTACTTACATCTGTCAAAAACGGCGCTTTCCACAAGACACACATGGAGGGAATCAAACACATATTCTAAGTTACAGGTGAACTATTTAACAACTTAACTGCCTAACTGTCCTTGATGATGGGGCTAAGTTAAAATTTAAGGAGGCACCTTTACTTTTCAAGAACGGAATATTTTCAAAGACTGTTCACTTAAAGGTTTGGTATCGTTCAAATAAGTAAATATATACACATGCGCAGCACATGAGACACACACAAGACAAAGGACATAGGCGTAAGCCATATGACACAGGGCGATGAACACAGGACATCGGACACGGAGCAATGGACACATGGCAATTTGACACCACACGAGACTGACACAGAAGAATGGGCGTAGGGCAATTTGACACCACACGAGACTGACACAGAAGAATGGACGGAGGACAATTGACACACCACGAGACTGACACAGAAGAAAAGACGCAGGACAATTGACACACTACGAGACTGACACAGAAGAATGGACGCAGGACAATTGACACAGCACGAGACTGACACAGAAGAATGGACGCAGGACAATTGACACACTACGAGACTGACACAGAAGAATGGACGGCGGACAATTGACACACCACGAGACTGACACAGAAGAATGGGCGTAGGACAATTGACACACTACAAGACTGACACAGAAGAATGGACGTAGGACAATTGACACACCACGAGACTGACACAGAAGAATGGACGGAGGACAATTGACACCCCACGAGACTGACACAGAAGAATGGGCGTAGGACAATTGACACACTACGAGACTGACACAGAAGAATGGACGGCGGACAATTGACACACTACGAGACTGACACAGAAGAATGGACGGAGGACAATTGACACCCCACGAGACTGACACAGAAGAATGGACGGAGGACAATTGACACCCCACGAGACTGACACAGAAGAATGGGCGTAGGACAATTGACACACCACGAGACTGACACAGAAGAATGGACAGAGGACAATTGACACACCACGAGACTGACACAAAAGAATGGGCGTAGGGCAATTGACACCCCACGAGACTAACACAGAAGAATGGACGGAGGACAATTACCACACCACGAGACTGACACAGAAGAATGGACGGAGGACAATTGACACACCACGAGACTGACACAGAAGAATGGACGGAGGACAATTGACACACCACGAGACTGACACAGAAGAATGGGCGTAGGACAATTGACACACTACGAGACTGACACAGAAGAATGGACGGCGGACAATTGACACACTGACACAGAAGAATGGACGGAGGACAATTGACACCCCACGAGACTAACACAGAAGAATGGATGGAGGACAATTGACACCCCACGAGACTGACACAGAAGAATGGGCGTAGGACAATTGACACACCACGAGACTGACACAGAAGAATGGACGGAGGACAATTGACACAGCACGAGACTGACACAGAAGAATTGACGGAGGACAATTGACACACCACGAGACTGACACAGAAGAATGGACGGAGGTCAATTGACACACGATGAGACTGACACAGAAGAATGCACGTAGGACAATGACACATCACGAGACTGACACAGAAGAATGGACGGAGGACAATGACACATCACGAGACTGACACAGAAGAATGGACGGAGGACAATTGACACACCACGAGTTTGACACACAACAATGGGCACTTGGCAACTGACACACCACGAGACTGACTCAGTACGTTGAGCACGAGATATAGTTCACTGGACACGGTATACAAGGACACATGACAAAAACACAGTATAGTATTACCGTGAGTACAGAAACTGCGTGTAGACACTAAAGACCTATCCCTCCAAACTCCCACCGACACACGGTAGGTATGTCAATGGGGATTACTGTTAGCTGATTAGGAGGAGACATTATGACAAGCTCACACAAACTACTGTCCAGACATGCATCCCTTGATCAGCTGGCATCGTTGAACAATGCACGGCAAGGTCCTTGATTGGATAGTAATAAGTAAGTAACATCTAATAATTTCATGTAAATGTTGCTCAACACTATCATAATAAAGCTTCATCATCGCCTTCATCTCCACCATCGCAATCATCAACAACGGGCTGTGTAGCTGTATTAATTTTGTTTGTTTGTTGTTTAACGCCGCACTCGGTATTATTCCAGCTATATGACGGCGGTCTGTAAATAATCGAGTCTGGACCAGACAATCCAGTCATTGACATCATGAGCACCGGTCCACGCAATTGGGATCGATGACATGCATCAACCAAGTCAGCGAGCCTGACCACTCGATCCCGTTAGTCGCCTCTTACGACAAGTATCGTCGCCTTTACGGTAAGCATGGATTGCTGAAGACCTAGTCTACCCCGGTAGCTTGTTGATTAAAGTGTTGGCTCGACATGTCAACGTGTGACAGACCATTTGCCAATATGGATTCTGCTGGAACATATCAAGTTAAAGAAAAACGAGAGTTCCGATATCAGACGAGTAACCTCGTTCATTAAATACTACCATATTTGTCTGTCAGACGAGCTACTTCGTTGATTAAATACCACTACGCTAGTCTGACAGACGAGTAACCTCGTTCATTATATATCACTATATTTGTCTGTCAGACGAGCTACTTCGTTCATTAAATACCACTACGCTGGTCTGTCAGACTAGTAACCTCGTTCGTCGAGGACCACGACACCAGTCTGTCAGACTAGTAACCTCGTTCGTTAAATATCTCTATAGTAGTCTGTCAGACTAGTAACCGCGTTCGTCGAGGACCACGACACCAGTCTGTCGGACTAGTAACCTCGTTCGTTAAATATCTCTACAGTAGTCTGTCAGACCAGTAACCGCGTTCGTCGAGGACCACGACACCAGTCGGTCGGACTAGTAACCTCGTTCGTTAAATATCTCTATAGTAGTCTGTCAGACTAGTAACCGCGTTCGTCGAGGACCACGACACCAGTCTGTCAGACGTGTAACCTCGTTCATCAAACTCAACTACACTAGTCTGTTGAACGAGCGAACCCGCTCCTCAAACTCCACCACACTACTCTTCTAGAAAGGTTGCCTCGTTCATCAAGGATCACTTCACTAGTGTGCTAGTGTGCTAGCCATAGTGGCTACCCAGCTAACAAGGTAACACCTAGGGTAGCTTCGAGACAGGGAGACCCATGTGAAGGTGAGATTAGGGGCTACCCAGCTACCAAGATAACACCTAGGGTAGCTTCGAGACAGGGAGACCCATGTGAAGGTGAGATTAGGGGCTACCCAGCTACCAAGGTAACACCTAGGGTAGCTTCGAGACAGGGAGACCCATGTGAAGGTGAGATTAGGGGCTACCCAGCTACCAAGATAACACCTAGGGTAGCTTCGAGACAGGGAGACCCATGTGAAGGTGAGATTAGGGGCTACCCAGCTACCAAGGTAACACCTAGGGTAGCTTCAAGACAGGGAGACCCATGTGAAGGTGAGAGGAAGGCATCAGGCAGCCTCAGGGTCATTTCAGTTCACAACTGCCCGAGTTTTTCAGGAAGCGTCTCTCCAGCCCATGTTTACATGTGAGCTTCAGGTAAATGAGCGGCTATATCGATCTGTACCCCCTCCTGTCAGTTCCCCCCTGGCCCGAATGTCACGTGGATTTGGGACTCCAACAATCGACAAAGGCAACCTCTGGTTGACCCGCCTTGCTCTAGTCAGCCATACACAAGAATTCTGCCCATCTTTAATATCTCGTCACGTGGCCAGTCGTTATCCAAAGTATTCCCAACCCTGCTGCTGATAATCTGCCCTGTCTGTTCACTGTGAGCGTTGTAATGGCAAGAGTATCTATGGTAACGCAAGTGTTTAATAAAGATAAGCAAAGAAAGTTTAAATTATGTGTGAGAAAACATCCAAAAGATGTTTAGAATATATTTTTTTTATAAAAGTGATAGCGACAGGGATAAAGGTGACGGAGACGGGGATAAAGGTGATGGGGACAGGGATAAAGGTGATGGGGTGAGGGATAAAGGTGATAGCGACAGGGATAAAGGTGATGGGAAGAGGGATAAAGGTGATAGGGAGAGGGATAAAGGTGATAGGGAGAGGGATAAAGGTGATGGGAAGAGGGATAAAGGTGATGGGAAGAGGGATAAAGGTGATAGGGAGAGGGATAAAGGTGATAGCGACAGGGATAAAGGTGATGGGAAGAGGGATAAAGGTGATGGGGACAGGGATAAAGGTGATAGGGAGAGGATAAAGGTGATGGGGACAGGGATAAAGGTGATAGGGAGAGGGATAAAGGTGATGGGGTGAGGGATAAAGGTGATAGGGAGATGGATAAAGGTGATAGCGACAGGGATAAAGGTGATGGGAAGAGGGATAAAGGTGATAGCGACAGGGATAAAGGTGATAGGGAGAGGGATAAAGGTGATGGGGACAGGGATTAAGGTGATAGGGAGAGGGATAAAGGTGATAGGGACAGGGATAAAGGTGATAGGGAGAGGGATAAAGGTGATGGGGTGAGGGATAAAGGTGATAGGGAGAGGGATAAAGGTGATAGCGACAGGGATAAAGGTGAACGGAAGAGGGATAAAGGTGATAGCGACAGGGATAAAGGTGATAGGGAGAGGGATGAAGGTGATGGGGACAGGGATAAAGGTGATAGGGAGTTGGATAAAGGTGATGGGAAGAGGGATAAAGGTGATGGGAAGAGGGATAAAGGTGATAGGGAGAAAGATAAAGGTGATGGGGAGAGGGATAAAGGTGATAGAGATAAGGATCAAGGTGATGGGGAGAAGGATAGAGGTGATGGGAAGAGGGATAAAGGTAATAGGAAGAGGGATAAAGGTGATGGGGAGTTGGATAAAGGTGATGGGGACAGGTATACAGGTGATGGGGAGAGGGATAACGGTTATGGTGAGTTGGATAAAGGTGATGTGGAGAGGGATAAAGGTGATGGGAAGAGGGATAAAGGTGATAGGGAGAAAGATAAAGGTGATGGGGAGAGGGATAAAGGTGATAGAGATAAGGATCAAGGTGATAGGAAGAGGGATAAAGGTGATGGGGAGTTGGATAAAGGTGATGGGGACAGGTATACAGGTGATGGGGAGAGGGATAACGGTTATGGTGAGTTGGATAAAGGTGATGGGAAGAGGGATAAAGGTGATAGGAAGAGGGATAAAGGTGATAGGAAGAGGGATAAAGGTGATAGAGACAGGGATAAAGGTGATGGGGAGAGGGATAAAGGTGATGGGGACAGGTAAACAGGTGATGGGGAGAGGGATAACGGTGATAGCGACAGGGATAAAGGTGATGGGAAGAGGGATAAAGGTGATAGCGACAGGGATAAAGGTGATGGGAAGAGGGATAAAGGTGATGGGGAGAGGGATAAAGGTGATAGAGATAAGGATAAAGGTGATGGGGAGAGGGATAAAGGTGATAGAGATAAGGATAAAGGTGATGGGGAGAAGGATAAAGGTGATAGAGATAAGGATAAAGGTGATGGGGAGAAGGATAAAGGTGATGGGGACAGGGATAAAGGTGATGGGGAGAAGGATAAAGGTGATGGGGAGAGGGATAAAGGTGATGGGGAGAGGGATAAAGGTGATAGAGATAAGGATAAAGGTGATGGGGAGAAGGATAAAGGTGATAGAGATAAGGATAAAGGTGATGGGGAGAAGGATAAAGGTGATGGGGACAGGGATAAAGGTGATGGGGAGAAGGATAAAGGTGATGGGGAGAAGGATAAAGGTGATAGAGATAAGGATAAAGGTGATGGGGAGAAGGATAGAGGTGATGGGGACAGGTATAAAGGTGATGGGGAGAAGGATAAAGGTGATGGGGAGAAGGATAAAGGTGATGGGGAGTTGGATAAAGGTGATAGAGATAAGGATAAAGGTGATGGGGAGAGGGATAGAGGTGATAGAGATAAGGATAAAGGTGACGGGGAGAAGGATAAAGGTGATGTGGAGAAAGATAAAGGTGATGGGGAGTTGGATAAAGGTGATAGAGATAAGGATAAAGGTGATGGGGAGAAGGATAGAGGTGATGGGGACAGGGATAAAGGTGATGGGGAGAAGGATAAAGGTGATGGGGAGAGGGATAAAGGTGATGTGGAGAAAGATAAAGGTGATGGGGAGTTGGATAAAGGTGATAGAGATAAGGATAAAGGTGATGGGGAGAAGGATAAAGGTGATAGAGATAAGGGTAAAGGTGACGGGGAGAAGGATAAAGGTGATAGAGATAAGGGTAAAGGTGACGGGGAGAAGGATAAAGGTGATGTGGAGAAGGATAAAGGTGATGGGGAGTTGGATAAAGGTGATAGAGATAAATATAAAGGTGATGGGGAGAAGGATAAAGGTGATGGGGAGTTGGATAAATGTGATAGAGATAAGGATAAAGGTGATGGGGAGAAGGATAAAGGTGATGGGGAGTTGGATAAAGGTGATGGGGAGTTGGATAAATGTGATAGAGATAAGGATAAAGGTGATAGAGATAAGGATAAAGGTGATGGGGAGAAGGATAAAGGTGATGGGGAGTTGGATAAAGGTGATAGAGATAAGGATAAAGGTGATAGAGATAAGGATAAAGGTGATGGGGAGAAGGATAAAGGTGATGGGGAGAGGGATAAATGTGATAGAGATAAGGATAAAGGTGATAGAGATAAGGATAAAGGTGATGGGGAGAAGGATAAAGGTGATGGGGAGTTGGATAAAGGTGATGGGGAGAGGGATAAAGGTGATGGGGAGAGGGATAAAGGTGATAGAGATAAGGATAAAGGTGATGGGGAGAGGGATAAAGGTGATGGGGAGAGGGATAAAGGTGATGGGGAGAAGGATAAAGGTGATGGGGAGTTGGATAAAGGTGATGGGGAGAGGGATAAAGGTGATGGGGAGAGGGATAAAGGTGATAGAGATAAGGATAAAGGTGATGGGGAGAAGGATAAAGGTGATGGGGTGTTGGATAAAGGTGATAGAGATAAGGATAACGGTGATGGGGAGAAGGATAAAGGTGATTGGGAGTTGGATAAAGGTGATAGAGACAAAGATAAAGTCGACGGAGATAAAGGTGATAGAGATAAGGATAAAGGTGATGGGGACAGGGATAAAGGTGTGAGAGAAGGATAAAGGAGATCGGAGAGGGATAAAGGTGATGGGGACAGGGATAAAGGTGATGGGGACAAGTGATAACGCGGATATGTTTAAAGGGACTTGCTCACTTGGTGGCTCTGTCTGCCACATCATCAGAGACACAACCACTACAGCCTGCCGTTTGATCTTGTTGACTAGTAGTGAGTGAGTGAGTGAATATGGTTTTACGTCGCTTTTAGCAATATTCCAGCAATATCACGGCGGGGTTGCTGATTAATAGGTTTCATATGTCATGTCTGTGAGTGATTATATGTCGTTATACATTTAACCGGCTTTATATATCCCAGCATTTCCAAGGCAGTTTTGACCATTATTCCCTCATCACCATTAACTTCACAAGTCAAGATTGATGCTTTTGCATGTCTGCCTATAGTTAGTTAGATGAAGGTTATTGGTTCACTTGGAAGTGTCCACGTGTTGAAAATAAAGTCATTACATCACGTGGGTCGGGTTTATATACAAGTCCTGATCAAAGCTGCTTACAATACAGATAGTATTCAGGTCCCTCTTTCTACTCAGATCCAAATAGCAGAGGGTTTTTAAAATGGATATTTGACTATGTTTACTATGATTATGAATACAACAGGAACGAACATACATTCACATATGAACGTCATCACTATGATGATAGAATAAATATTATTCACAGAAAAAATGAAACGACTGAACAACAGTATCTTTGTTTGACATGGCGATATGAGATTAGTGAATTACTGTGGAGATTTAGCGTGCCTTGTCTCAACTAACTCACACGACAAGCATAAGAGACTTATATGGCGCTCTAAACCCATCGCCCCTGTGCACACATGGTTAAGCAAGGATTCACCAGCCCTACAACATGGCCGCCGCATGAATCGATCTCGCCCCACACGAGATGTCCCAAGTCACGCGATATCAGATACTGTGATTTAACACCACATGACTGGATATCATCCAAAACTGGATCTTCCGATGATACAGACGAATTCATACTCTGGGAACTTTTGTATTTTGATGTTTTTCGTATGTTGTTGGGGTTGCTGCTTATTCGTTGTGAGCTGTACGTACAACCAACAGCTCAATTTATAAAAATAAATAAATGGAAGTTACTTATGTATTATGACAGACATCTATATGATAATGAAACAGTCTGACAACAGTTTCAACGATAATAATAATGTTCCAATATCTAGCATGACGGGAAATATCACGAGGAAGTCTCGTGAGGGAGGTTTGACATGTCTGGGCTATGAAGTCATAGGTCAGTCCAGCTAGAGCCCATTCACAACATGCTGGGGAGGTCTTGGTACATTTGCCTTCAGTGACGACGCATTATAGTGTTATAAAACATGATAAGCGTATTGTCTCTTTATGAAAGTACGTTAAAATATGATTGAAAGAAAAGTTTCCCAAATTAAATGAAAACAGATATATGACACTGGCTATTTTGATATAATTATTCATAAAACCATTAACGTATTAAGATAAAAGTATTCCTAAAAGAAGATTCCATGTTGGTTTATATATATATAACATATATGAATAAATAATTTGATGGGGAGCATCTGATATACAATATTAAAGAACATAGAGAACCTTTTTACATTGTCTGTGTCATATTTTTAAGAAAATGTGGGAAGAAGTGTTTGAATTAACCAGATGATTGCAAAATGTAAAACACAACATTGAAGGGATTAATGAAACGTGATGTAAACAAGAAAAGTCAACAAATTGAAAAGAATACATGATACATGACATTGGCTATTTTGATAAAATGTCAAACATATAGGTGGGCTTTTTTATAAATAACATTAACGTATTAAAATAGGAAGACGACCAGAACTATGTTTTATAAACATATTGCTTGCAGTTTATTTCAAACCGTACAATATATTATTACAATGAATATCATTTTTATTTTACACATTGTTTGTGATATTTAGCTCAAAATGTGTGACAATAAATGATTTTAAAATGCATAAACACATTGCATGTTGTAAAAAAGCGTTCGAATGAAAACGTAATATTGAAAGAATTAATGAAACATGATATAAACAGAAGTGAAAACATGGTAATTTAACTATGCCTAAAATTATTTGGTGTTCACAGGAAAATTTAGTTTTTAGTTCTTACGTGAAAACATGAAACAGTGTTGACATGGAAACATGATACAGTGTTGACATGGAAACATGATACCCTGTTGACATGGAAACATGATACCGTGTTGACATGGAAACATAATACAGTGTTGACATGGAAACATGATACAGTGTTGACTTGGAAACATGATACCGTGTTGACATGGAAACATGATACAGTGTTGACATGGAAACATGATACCGTGTTGACATGGAAACATGAAACAGTGTTGACATGGAAAAATGATACAGTGTTGACTTGGAAACATGATACCGTGTTGACATGGAAACATGATACCGTGTTGACATGGAAACATGATACCGTGTTGACATGGAAACATGATACCGTGTTGACATGGAAACATGATACAGTGTTCACATGGAAACATGATACCGTGTTCACATAGAAACATGATACCGTGTTCACATGGAAATATGATACCGTGTTCACATAGAAACATGATACCGTGTTCACATGGAAATATGATACCGTGTTCACATGGACACATGATACAGTGTTGACATGGAAACATGATACAGTGTTGACATGGAAACATAATACGCCTTGTTCACGTGAAAACCTGGCACACGGTTTTCACATGAAAACATGACACACAGTATTCACAAGAAAGCATGACACACTTTGTTCACATTAAAAACGTAATACACCTTGTTCACATGGAAACACGATACACATTGTTCATGACACGACACGCAGTATTCACATGAAAACATGACACAGTTTTCACATAAAAACATAGAATGAAGCATTCCACACATTGTTCACATGAAAACGTGGAATTTGGTGATTTTTGAGCGAAGAAAGAGTTTCACAAATTATTTATACATCAAAACAGTTGTGTTTAATGACTAGAATATTATCCGTTGAGCTTAACTTAATTCACTTCTGTACACAATACCAAACAATATACAATAATATAAATTAATACAAATAGAATATCTTTGAAAAGAAACCCTATTACAGAATACACTGTAATGGGTACAGTGTGTTGGGCTGTAACCATAACTATTAAAGTCCACGAAAAAGATACATATTTTGATGTGCATTTTCAGTACTGATATAAATGTTACTTGTGGCTTGTGTGAAATTCAGACATTGCTATGACATTGTTGCTATGTAATCACAATATATTTATTGGTAAACTGATCAACATTATTCAACATGAGTTAGCAGACGGGTAACATTTTGTTTCAATGACCTGAATCAAACAAGCTGGGACTGCCAACTGACCCGAGCTTAGTGTCCCTTTAAGTGTAAACATGAATCCATTGTGTAAAACTCGTGGATTGAGCATGGGTTATAGTGCTTGACAGAAAAGAGATATTGACTGAATGAAAACGACTAGTTTGCCTTTGGTTTTGCCACACAGATGGTTCGCTGGGCATACTGGGGTCCTGATACAACTGTGCGGCTCCTTCTTATAAAATGAGGGTTGGTCGGGTAGCCTAGTGGTCACAGCGTTCGCTCGTCACGCCGAAGGCCGGGGTTGGAGTGCCCATATGGGTACAATGTGTGAAGCCCATTTCCGGCGTCCCGCGCCGTGATATTGCTGTAATATTGCAACAAGCGGCGTAAGGCCCAAATCACTTATTCACTCTATCACTCCTAAAAAGACATGACCAAAAATTTCCAGAATAGTAAATGGTCCGTCAATCTTTCTATAAGAAAAATAGAACTGTTCTCGAAAACAACTGTGTGAAAAAAATTGCACTCAGTTTTTTCAAAACAAATAAATTGTTCGCTTGATGTTCTGAAAATAAACATGTCGTGAACACATGGAATTGGAATATGAATAGGCGGGTCCTTTACATTTGATATACACTGAGGTGCAAATGAAACTATACCGAGAGTGTTTTTATGCAATTGAAAGAACTGTTGTTAAATTATATTATGTCCATGTAACCATCTCTCATTCCTGCAAGTTTGTAAAAAGTAATCTGTGACTGGGTATTTGGTGTAAAATAGATGGGCTCAATGAAGACGGGGTAAAGAATGATTTTGCAACCACACGACCACCTGCCATGATTGAAATGTAAATTTGGGCCGAAAAAAGCAAATTTAATGGGTTTTTGTTGAAAGATAAGATGTCTGAGATACCCATAGTTTTTGTGTAGTAACCTGATATTTATTAATTTAATAAAATGTAAATCAAATTATGTTTTAAATGTAGAAGTATTGTTGGAGTGCTTACCAAGCGCCAGTACAGTTAAGTCTTTTGGATATGTCATCGCTAACTTAGGATATTTTCAATTGAAAATCAAACATGTGACAAAATCAGCTGATAGGTACAGTTCATTTTGCTGCCCAGCTTAAATATGATATATGAAGGCATTAAGGCACATCCCGCTATATGGTAAGATATGACACATTGTGACTGAAAGGGTATACCGAAAATTCAGTGGAAAAAATGCCCCATCTCCAAGTCAAACAACTATTCCAGTATAAGGCGATGTGTCCACACGTTTCAGATTGGTACAGATTACCAGGTACGCATTCTTCTAAAAAAGAGCTTGGAAACTGAGGGGTGGGGTGGGACCTTGAGGAGGTATACGCTATGAAAGGGGGGGGGGGGGGGGTCAGTGACACCGTGTGTGTCGAGAGGGAATCAACAGATCAATACAGTGTTTGTATTTCAGGTGGAAACAAGCAACAGCCTCGCTTCAGATGTACATAAATTCCCGTCTCCTTAACACGAAAACAAAACGTATCGATTTGACAATGGCAAATGAGTTTCGACCTAGTTTAGTTCAAACATTTGAACACATAATAACCA